AACTTATATTTTTCAGGACTGCCCCTGATGACTTTTTTGTGTGGTCGGTTGCCAACCGCGCCCGGAAATCCAAGGAACGGTTAGGAATTAATGTGGGTGGAAATTTTGATTTTTTGCGCGTGCGGCTGTTTTTCAAATTTTTGCACGCCGCGTAAAACCGTTCCCCCACTCTGCATCACCGCGCCATCTTCCCTTCCTGCCACGCCCTCCCTTCTTGCATGCCTCTTCGTCTTCCCTCGAGTGAAGTCCGATCCACTCCGTACCCATCATAGCAAGCAATTGGCTGTGTAATTGGGATGGTCGGATCAGTTTGGTGAAAGCGGGAAGCGCGAACCACTTGAACGACCACCCCAATCTTACAGAACGTTCGACTCGCCTCCTTCGATCTTTCTGGAACCTTGGCCCTTCTTCTGTCCTGCTCATCTACACCCTGTGCTACCTGCACCTCGTGCTGGCACCCCACCGCCTTCCTCGCTATAAATTCTCGCAGCCCCTTCCTCTCCTCCTCTTTGATCTCCGCTGCAATGCTGCGCGAGCTATGCACGAGGTCCGCGGCGTCGGACAGGCTTGACGTGCCCAAGTGACGGGCAGAGTGACGGTGTGGGACGGACTCGACGGTAAAACTGGGGGTAAGACAGTCAGAGTGACTGAGCGGTGGTGGAGATCGGGCACCGGCAGTGGCAGGGCCTTGTGGCTATGGTTGTCGGAGGTTCTAATGGATTGGGGCTGGGCCGAGGGCGATCAACCGTGTGAGAAATTTTTGCATAGTGAGGAACTCACTTCTATCTCCATTGCTGCTTCGTCCAAGTCTGATGTGGTCAAGGTCCCGAAGTATGGGTATTCTATTGTATGCATGTTGTGGTACAGGAGTCTATGGATGTTGAATGTCTCACTGTCCAAGATAGCTGGATGAGTAGATGTGTGGGCGCTTACAGGCGCACTTCTGGGGAGTGCGGGGTGTCGGTCGTCTTCATGGATGCATGAGTGTGTTGGATCTCCCTCCCTTCCCCTGACCCCTTTCCGATCCCAACGCCTCGTATACACGCGGGCTCAGCGCCAACTTCTTCTCTTTCTCTCCCGCTTCGTGCGAGCAGGAGATCCGAGACATATGGGCTGGCGTCGGCCCATGATTTACACTCGATAACCAGGGAGATCAGTCGCCCGCGTCACCACGATGCGGCTGATGTCTCCTCCCCTCCGCTGATACTGCCCTACACTAATCTGACTACGTTGCCCTGGTCCGCCGCCCACGCCACGTGGCTGTGACGCGCAACCTCACGCCCTGTGCTGTCTTTCGTTCGGAGTGTTAGACGTGCGGAAAGAGGCCCAGAAAAACAGCAAGATGGGGTGGGCCAAGGATTTTTGGAAATTGAGTGTGGGGACACAGATGGGACTGAAATCCCCCGTGTTGGTCCAATGAAGCAAGTCGACTGCTTTCACGCGTCGAGGAATGCACGCGCGGGCACGGCGCGAAAAGAGAAAAATCCAAATTCAATCCAAAAAGTATTGTCGGGTTTCCCACCGGGTTACAGCCCGTCGTTTAGAACGGAAAGGCTTTGGCACGCTCAGCGTGTCTCGTTTTCGTATCAAATCTCGTCGTCGTTCGATGGTCAGTTCCGAGTCCGACGTGGATGGTCTCAACCCCGTGGCTCTTTCTTTATGCTCGTCTTCACTCCACACACGGTAGTGGAAACCCCTGGATTCGTAGCGCTCAAAACGCTGGCATTCGGTGCATAGAGTGTGCGGCCAGTGGGGTTCTACTGCCGTCCACGGGATGACGATCGACTCGTTGAATGGCAACAATATCGAGTAAGGTGGGAAGTGCGTATCGATAATGACAAACACAGCCTCTACGAACCCTGAACAACGATTTGCCGGAGGGAAGTAGTATCGTCCGCCGATTTGTGCAACGGCTTCTCGTACGTCCCACTCACATACACGTGTCCTTCCCTTAGAAGGCCGTGTTGGGACGGGAGGTACGGGAGGCTGGTGCCCGATCGGAGGGTACTGGTCAGTCCGCATATCCATCAATTGTAGAGACCTTGCGACGTCATCAAAAAAAGAAAACACTCGCGCAACTCATAAACAATCTCCTTCAACACGAGAAGGAAGGAGAGAGAGAGAGA